CAACCATGACTCAGGCTCCTTTCCTCTGTGATTGTCTTGACCCTGTCTGGGTTGGCCTTGCCCAGAGGCTGGTTTTTCTCATGGCTATAAGAGGGAGACCAGTGGCAATTGAGATTGATATTTCCTCTGTTCTATTTAGTGAGGCAGATGGCATTGCTTCTCACAATATAGCACAAAAGTGAACTTTAGTGGTTCAGGATAACTAAAACTTAGGGTAAGATTACAACAAGCGTGAGAAGTCTCTCAATAATTATCTCAAAAGCAGTTGAACAGTGACAATAAATGGAAGGGAACTTTAATTTTGGCTTATGTTATATATCTATTTCTTATTTTTAAATATTTTATTTATACTTAAATATTTTATTTTCCTATGCCTCTCATGATATGTGCATTGATCTAGAGACTAATACATTCTGGACTTCTGGAATAGTAATACACTTATCATGAAACCAAGGTTACCTGTCCTATCAAGGCATTCTTTACAGGATGCATATGCAATGCAGCTGGTGTGCAAAACTAGTTATAAGCATAGTGGATGGCATAAGAGCACTGTCTCTGGAGTCTGCCACATCTGGATCCTCATCTCTGCTTTGCCATCACTTAGCTGGGTACCTCAGGCAAATAACTTTGTCTTTTGGAGCCTTTGTTTCTTGATCTACAAAATGAAAACAATATTGAGACTGACCTCATAACATCTGAGGATATAATTCATAATTCAGTAAATGAGATAATTCATGTGATGTATATGCAAAGGTTCCTAGTAATATTTTTCCACAGCACCTATAAGCCCAAAGAAATATGTAACACTTTGGTTTATTGAATAATTACATGAAAAAACCTTAATAGTAGTAGTTTACAATGCATCCAACAGATGTTGCTGTTGTTTCCTTCAGAAATTTAAAGTGTCTTATAGTACCCCCGTAAGTTGGCTATGGTACCCTGGGGTGCCTTGGTGACCAGTTTGGAAACAGAATATTAGGCACATAGTTCATGGTAATTATGTGGTGGCTACTAATATTGTGAAGGGGGGCTCCTGTTGTTGGCACAGTGGGTTAAGCCACCACTTGCAATACCAGCATCCCATATGCTGCTTCACTTCCAATCCAGCTCTCAATTAATGTGCCAGGGAAAGCAGTGGAGGATGGCCTGAGGGAATGGGCCCCTGCCACCACATGGGAGACAAGACAAGCTCTTGGCTTCATTTTAGCTAAGCCTTACCCATTACAGCCATTTGGGGAGTGAACCAGTGGATGGAAGATCTCTCTCTCTCTCTTTCTCTGTCACTCCCTCTCTCTGTATAACTCTGCCTTGCAAATAAATAAATAAATGAACATTTTAAAAAATATTGTGAAGGATTTATGATTATTATTAGAGGGGACCTGGCTATTACAGAGGTAGTAGATATTGACTATCCCTAAGGAGGGAGGCTTCCCTTTTTTCATAGTAATCCCTGGAAGACCCAGCTGTCTTCTAAATCAGCACTGTCTCACACCAGTCTGGGAGAAGAGTGTGATTTCTATGTGTACAGACAAGAGAACCTCATTCTCTAAGTAGAGCCAATTTTTAGCTTTGCCACTACCAAGATTTTTTCCACACTCCTACTCTCACCCATTGACCAAAAGTCAGTCTTTCAGAAGAACCTTCTATATATCAGATCGGAAATACTTCCCTTGGTCTCTGCCTGACCTTCCCAATCCTGCTTTTCTTTTTTCCCCTCTTCCTTGTCTTCTTTTCTCCATGTCCCTCTTAGTTGGTGTCTGAGACTGGGGTCCTGCCCCTCATCATGAGGGGTGACTGGCTACATACTTTAGGAAGGATGATTGATTGGATTTTGTTTGGAGTCTCATCTTGGCCTGTGTGGAGGCTGGGACAGTGAGTACTGATAGCTTATCCCTATGCACCTCCTTCCTCTCTCCTAAGAGGACAGAGGAAAACAAATAGAGACTTCAGAAAGTGGCCTGGCATTGGGCACCCTTGAGAGGCTGAGGGGATGGGGGTAGGGACTATGCTGAATCTTTAAGTCTCAGCAATTGAGGTCCATGGGAAAGCTTTGATTTTCTTCTAGAGGCTAGATCTGACTTTAGTTCTATTTGGTTGTTTAGATTCACTGAAGGGAAATCTGATGTTTGAGGAATGAGAAGGAACGAAATAGCAGACCTGTCCATGCACTGTTGACTCTGGGCCTCCTTGGTGCTGGCCGGCAGAGGTCGGGAGCGGCTGGCTGGCTTTTCGCCCCGGCCGGCGGCGTTTGCTTTGGCCGTTTGGGGAAAGAGCACTTTGTGGAAAGCAAGCCTTCCCGGCCAAGGGGCTATTTTCGTCCTGAATCTGTTGAGTCCAGCCTGAAGGCAGGGTCCAGGATCAACAGAGGCCATGGAAAATGGGACTGGATGCCTGGCAGCCAGAATTGTGGGCTTTATCTTCCTGACCAGGGCGTTCAGACCCATGAAGGCAGGAACGATCAGGAACAGGGAACCTTGTGGCATCAGGGCCAGAAAAAGCTAGTTGTTCTTTGAATGGTCATTGTAGTCCAGGCCTGGCTTGAGTATATCACTAGGCCTCACCCCTTTCCACGCTATCCAGTCGAGAAAGGTGAATACATGGCTAGAGCTGACCTACTTCCCAGAGTTCCTGAAGTGCCCTAAGTATGGGCCTCCCCATACCAAGGGACCACTAAATTACTGGACCAGTATCCTTCCAATGAATCAGGTGCCACGGGAAGCAGAGAAGTCTCAATTATGATACCTGTCTTCTAGGATCTCAAGGTCTTTCCAGGGAAACAGGCCATTTTTACAAAGAGATACTTTCAGTACTAGGCAGGGTATAGACAGGATGATGTAACTGATAGAAGAAAGCACTAAGGGAGTTCAGAGGAGGACTAGAGCCCTGGGGGAGGTGTGAGTTGATTTGGGTCTTGAAAAGTAAATAGGTATCAGATACAGATGTGATGAGACATCTCTTTTGCTCCTAAGGCAGAAATCTTTTGAAATTGACCCAGCATACATCTTTGGTTTACTGTACGTTTGCTAGCCTCTAACCAGATTGTGTTTAGACTAGGGTACCTGTGTTGAGATGGTTCTGAACCTGACTGACCAGAATGACTTGAACTTGTCAGACAAGAACATCTTGTCTAGAGCTGGGTTAGAACCAGAGTGATGTCTGGAAGCATGAATCATCTTCACCAAGTCCTGCTTTTACCCTGTCATTCAACCCTATCGCAACCTGAAACTCAATAGTGACTCTTTGCTTGCTTTCAGGATAGCCAGGCAACTTTTGTTTGGTGTCAAGTCCTTTCATGGTCTGAGCCCAACCTTTCCTTCTAGCTGTTCTCTCATTCTTAGACTTTGTGCTCTATACCAGCTAAAACTCCTCCTTATTCCTTGGAGCCTGTGGGAAATGACTTGAAATTATCTGTGGGCTTGGACATTATCCAGAGCTTTAATATAAGTCCCCTTCCATGCTTTGGGAATTCTCTCTGAGGTCTCTTTATTTTCTTTCATATCTACAATTCCTGCTTTACTTAAGCAGAGTGCTGTTGAAAATGGATTCTTTATTGCTCTGGATCAGAGTCATGAAGGGCCAGATAGTAAATAATTTAGGTTTTGAGTGTCATATTGTCTTTGATTCTATTATTGTATCTGCTGTGGTGATGTGTAATATGCTATGGTAATATGTAAATGAATGAGTCTGTCTATGTTCCAATGAAACTTTATTCATGGACAGAAATTTGAATTGCATGTAATTTTTCACATGTCATAAAATATTATTCTTCTTTTGATTTTTTTTCAACCATTTAAAAATGTAAAAACCATTCTTAGCTCTTGCCCTGTACAAAAATAGGCAGTGGGTTGGATATGCCCTGCAAGTCCTAGTTTGCCAACCCCTGCTCTAAAAGGCAGAACACAAACTTCTGGGTGGAAACTATGGGGAAGAGATTTGGGCTCAAATTTTTTAAAATGATCAGAGTTTTAGGAAAATGGGGTATGTTGTCCAGGAGTTAGAACTGCTACATTTTCACTTAAGGTATTCAAGCACCACAGGATAAGAATATCACAAGAAAACTCAAAGGTCTTGCAGGCGGTTGGACTTGATGCTTTACAAATCCATAGGACTGTGCTTTCATCAAAGTGTTGCGTTGTTCACATAGCCATCCTTCCCCAATTACTTACTGTCCTTTTATTTTTGAAGATCCGTATGTTTGTCTTACACTCCTCCCACTCAGCATTTGATGATACTCTGTCAATTTACTCCCAAGTTTTCCTGTGTACACTTTATTTGTCTTCCAAAAACCTGGGGGTTAAAGTCAAAAGGGCAAGGTTCACCAGCAGCTGCTGTATGGCTGGCTGCCTAGCAACCATTAGGGGCAGCTGAGAATTACTGCAGAGGCCTTTGTGGGAAGATGGTCTGACCTAACCATCAAAGTAGAGTAAAAAGCAAATGAGATAATATCTGAAATGCTCTTTGTTAGTTATAAAAACAGGGCTTGATGTTGCCTTACAGATTATAATGCCTTCATTTGCTTCCCTATAAAAAATTTAAAGTTATTTGAAGAGATTTAAGTTTCTTTTTGCTCCCCTCCCTTCCACAGTGGTTTGGTCCTGCTTCTTTACTAAGTCAGCATCCCATTTCTGCCAATCCTCCACAGTGGTCTGATCCTGTCTCATGGAATACCAGGCCCTTTGTGTTTTAATTCTCTCCTCCACTTGTCCATTCCTTTCCCCGAGTGGTTTGACAGCGCCTTGTAGAAAAGCATCCCGGATTAGTTTTCTATACATCTCAGTGGTTTGCTCCTGTGTGGAGAGCATCAGCATCTTTCCCCCTCCTGTCTCGTGGCAATGATTTGATCCTGCGTCATTGAGCATCAGTTTCTTTTAGCCCCTCCTCCGGGGTCCACAGTGGTTTGATCCTCCCTCACTATTAGGTCCTCTCTGATTCCCCCTCCAGCATCACCACCACAAATGGTATGGTCCTTAGCATCAGGTCCTTTTTGTCGCCTCCTCCTACACCCCCCCTCTGCCCCCGCACTGGTCTTCCAAGCAGATTGAAGCAGCCTCATCTCATTCCTGATTCATCCTGGTCTCCTCAGTGGCTTGCTCCTGCATTAGTAATGTGAAACTGGCCTAAATGGGTTTAAAATGATTGGAAGTTGAAATCTTTCCTGACAAGGAAAAAAAATCAGTTCTGATCAGTTCAAATCTATTTTGTCCAGTTTAAATCAATTCTGCAGAGCTGGAGCCTAAGGTTGGTCACCTAGGAAGATGGCTGAAGACTATGCGGATTCAAGCCAAAGCAAGGAAGCAGGTACGTATAGAAGTTGAAACTGAGCTGAGAAGTAAGAAAGAAAACAGATCAAATGAGGATAGGAAAATACAGAATCTAGGATTGTTTGAGGGGTGATTCAAAAGAGGTTAGTTGTATCCAAAGTTGGTGGGGTTTATTTGTGGGGGGCTGCGTGAGAAGCCATTTGGGGGAGGTAATGCTGGATTTGGGGCTCTGCCTTGGTTTGTCTGAAAAGCAGTTTGGGAGCCCATTCCAGCCAGTTGCTCCATCTGGCTAGAGCTGAGACTGGGTTTTATGTGGATCCAGTGAATCCTGGCTATGCAAACCAGCCCTTGGGGCCATTCTTTGTGTCTGGCTTTACCACTGGCTGAAATTAATAGAGTCCCAAACCATGCAGGACAACCTTCCTATCTTTTTTACCGTAGAGAATCCTGTTTAAGGCTGCTTATTTAGGTTGGGAGAAGACTGGTAATCTTGGAAAAAAGAGCTAATTGTAATAAGTAAGACATGAAATGAATGAGCCTATTAATCAGAATTGAATTGAGGAGTATATTTTGTGTTTTTTTAGAGAGATGTGCAGGAGACCAATATTTAATCTCTCATCTGTAGATCTGGTTATCTATCTCCTTGTTGTTTGTGGGCTGAACTAGAAATTGGCCAGTGTTGTTTGGATTTAACCTAGCTGGTTTTTTTGTCCTTTGTGGGGACTGCAATATGAAAGGTACAGGAACTGAAAAACGTGAAGGATGAAGAACGAAAATTTCAGACTGCAGTATTTCTAATTTGTGCAAAACCTCTGCAGTGGGACAGTGGGCAGGCCAGATGCTTTGATGACGAGTGACATAATGCTGCAGGATTGAGGGTGGGGTTGGAGCTCTGTTTGGTGCAGTGTGTCTCAACATCTTTTCCTCAGATAGACAAGGTTCTGCGGCTGCTTACCTGTAGGGAAGATTTCCTGGAATGGCGTAGGAACTTGGCTGCTTGGGAGGAAACAGAACCTTTTGTGAGAGAACTTGGTTTAGGAGCCTATGAGTTGAAAGATGTCTTTTATGTAAGATGACTTCAGTTAGCCACAGCCTATTTCTTGATAGGGAGGATGGCGGCCATTTTAGTCAAGGCAGTTGAATGGCACTTCCAAATGTTGAGGTAGAAAAAAAAATCAGATTGGAGTCACATAACCCAGACATTGAGGCCTAGCTCTACTATTTTCTATGTGGACCTTGAAAAAATGATCAAACCTTCTAGAGACTCGTTTTCCTATTTGTAAAATAAGGTTAATATCATTTGTTCTAAAAGATAAGAACTTAGAGTTTAATGCCTTTGGGAGTAAACTAGCTGCCATTCTACATTTTTGTCTGACGAAACCAGATTGCATGGCAGGGATTACTTCTGTGTCTGCATGTAGGAATAATTAAATCTGATAAAGATAATTTCTCTTTAAATTTTCAGCAATGTTTCCATCAAATGAAACTACTGGATGGACTGTTTTAAGGAGCAAAGGAGAAATTGTCATTGAAGTATTTTATAAACCACAAAGCACAATGTAGATGTGAGTGATTATTTTTAAAATAATTGTTGATTATCATTAGAGTGGTGCTGAGAAAAGCCACAACATAAAATGTCTTCCAGTGTTGCAGACTCACAGATCTCTCTGATTCCAGATTCAGTTCTTGCCCTACATCACACTGGACCTGTGGCCACCAGAAGTCCTGACATGTGGTATGCAGCATCATAAAGCACAGTGACCTGAGGCGAGGGGTGGTAGGTGTGTGTGGGTGACCATGTCAAATATATAGATGACAACAAGGTGGGGTGTAGCTGGTACTGTAGGCATACACATCTTGGAATGATCTTATTTGCAAGGCAAATCTGAATTACATTACTTGGATTCCGTCACCCTCCCCAAAACAGCAGGATCAGGTGAAAGAACATAAGAAAAGGTAGTGATGTGGGCTTTAGAAACATGGAGGTCCTGATTCTGGCATTCGCAGATAAGGAAGATGGGAGCAAGATTGGGCTGTAGAGTCTCAGCTTGAAAAACATTAAATTTCAGAATACCTGTGGTTGTAATAGTGCCATCAGAGAGCTGTACCCTGTGCTCAGATTTGTGGACTGGAAAATGTGAGCTTTTTGACAGTCACTTGACTAATACATGCAGGAAGGTGATGGTTACAGTGAACATGTATTATGGCAAGGGGTTTGACAAAGGTTTTTATTTTTGTGGCATCCTGTTGAACAAGATGGAGGAAGCACAAGCTGGAACACCATTTCTTTAGTTGGATTCCAAAATGGTTTTTTTTTTCCTTTAAAAAATACCACTTATTATCTGTCAGACATTGTGCTAGATACTTTATATGCATCAATCATTTAAATCTCTCAGTACCCTCTGAGCTGTGTATTAGTCATTCTGTCACACAGGCGAGGAAACTATTTCCAAAGGATGCTAATTATGCAGTCTATGTTTCCCTGGAGCAGCTATTCTTAAGAAATGGCACATTCTCGGAAAGATTTTTCAGAATCACTTGGATAAGGGCTTTTCCAAACCACACAGGCATTTTTTCCACTTAACTTCCCTTTAGGAGGACTGTCCTTCTTTGGGTACCTCTGATATTTTGTGAGCTACTGTGATGGTTGGGACTGGGTAGTGGGAAAAGCTCTCAGGTGTACTGAAGTATGAGAAAGCTTGACTTTCACTATTGCAAAGAGAGTTCCTTTGTGGTAGTTGCAGGGCTCTGTGCCTAGACCTTAGTTTCAACATTTTAATTAATGAATTGCATAGGAAAATATGTTCATTAAGTATTAAGGGAAAACTGGAATGGGAGGGAAAATATATATACTGATTGACAGAATGAGGAATCCTCGAAGAATTTACTAGACTATAAAAATGGCCCAAGGACATCAAAATAAATTTGATAAGAATAAATGTGATATCTTGCACTAGCATTAAAAAAACCAGAAATTTAAAAAATTAGCAATTCTACTGGATGGGTTACATGTTTAATATGGCTGCCAAAACAGTTAATGGAAAATTGGTCTGAATTAATGGTAGTATAGAGTCTAGAATGAGGGAGATGATTATTCCACTCTTTTCTGAGTTGGTACAATCTTACTTTAAGAATTATGTTGTGTTATAGCTATTACCTTTTAAAGAGGCACAATGACAAAATAGAAGAGAAACCTGGAGGGCAGCTTAGGGTTTGAATGCTATCTTCCACTATTTGTAAGGTTGTCACTAAAAGAGGACTTTTATCTGAATGGCTTGACCCCAAACAGCAGGATTAGGATTACTGGGTGGCAGTTAGAGCAGAGTTAGAAGGGAATGACTTCCCTATCATATGAAGCCTTTAAACAGAAGCTGGCTAACTATATGTTAGGTATTTAAGGTTGCTCTAAGGCCTCAGAAGTAGCCTGAAATGCTCCAGTTTAGCAGGTTGAGAATCACCATGGGCATTTCTTGAATGTTCTTTATCTGATTGATGGGGGGAGTGGTGATCAGAAAGGAGAAGTATAGGGTGAAACTTGTTAGGAACTAGTGAATCCATAGAAATGCTGGAACTAGCTGGTGTGGTCCAGCCAAGGATGACACTGAAGGAAGGAAGCATTGACTAAGTGCTTGGTATATACCTAGTACTTTTACTGTCACACAAGTTTTTTCTTAATTGTCATAATGATTGAGTGAATTATGTATTATTAGTTGTTCTTTTACAGATGAGAAAACTGAGGCTCAGAGAGGTTAAGCGACTTGCCCAAGGTCATGCAGCTAGTATGTGGCCTTGGGAGAACACATCAGAACCCTCCATAGGGAAGACTGTTCCAGAATTTCTACTTTTACCTGATCACTTCTCCAGTTGAGTAGAGTTGGTATTGCCAGAGGCGACTCAGGATTGTGTGGACAAGTGCGTCATGCTGGGCTGGGTGCCCGGAGTAGATGAGAATATCATGAAGATATATGATCAGCCTGTAGTCCAGCAGGTCCTGGAAGATGGTGTTGGAACGCAGCTGAGCTATTACACAGGCTAAATGGCATGACTGTTTATTCACAATGTCTGTACCTTATACAGAACACTGTCTCCCATAGGATCTCAGAGTGGCACAGATATAAGAGGACCTACAGATCTTCTTTTTTTAAAATCAGGAAACTGTAGTCAGAGACGGGAAGGGATTTTTTTTAAACCTTCCTGAGACTGCTGTACAGCAGTCCAGGATCTTCCTCCCTCCCTTCCTTGTTTTAAAATATTTATTTACTTTATTTGAAAAGCAGAGTTACAGAGAGGCGGAGAGAGAGAGAGAGAGAGAGTTAGGTCTTCCATCCACTGGTTCACTCCCCAAATGGCTGCAATGGCCAGAGCCAGGGCGATGTGAAACTAGGAGCCTGGAGCTTCTTCCTGGTCTACCACGTGGGTGCAGGGGCCCAAGGACTTGGGCCATTTTCTACTGTTTTCCCAGTCACATTAGCAGGGAGCTGGTTCAGAAGTAGAGCAGCTGGGACTTGAACTGACACTCATATAGGATGCCAGCACTACAGGTGGTGGCTTTACCTGCTACGCCACAGCACAGGCCAGAAGGGAGTTTTAAAGCTTCTTCCACTTAATAATTTTCCCTCTGTTAGTGCCAGGAATTTATTTTTTAAATGTAATCTAGTAAATTTAAGATTAGCATTTCTTAGAGTAGATTTATTTATCAGGAATGACCAATTCTCTTATAAAAGTTGCTACTCAGTTTCAGAGCTACAAGATAGATACACAATGTTCTGGTGTCCTTCCTGCACCTTCCCCCAATATTATGGAAGCCAGTATAATAAAAATGGAAAGAGTTTTTATAAACGTGAGAGTCAAACAGATTGGGTTTACTTTCTTTACTGGAATTCAGAGGAAATTCTTCAACGTCTTTGAGCCTCAGATTCATTATTTGTGAAAATGGGAATAATAGGTTTATTTTAGCCATGTGGAGTTTGAGGCATCCAGTTGGAGAGATCTAGGGAGGGCCAAAGCTCAAGACAATGACCTTGTCTGGGTATACAGATGTGAGAATCAAGCACGGACCAAAGTTTACAAATCCATGACCATGGGTGGCACTGCCTAGCCAGAGTTCTCTTCCATGTGACAGTCCTCCAGCTGTTGAGGGAGATAGTCATGTTATTCAGCTTATTCGATTCTCTAGATTTAACATCTTTGGTCATTCTGCATTTGCCTTGGATTCCAACCTTTTATCAGCTGACTTGTCCCTTGAGGACATACCATATTTTGATTTTGTCACTCTTGAGGCATGTTGCTCTAAAGCTAAACACAGTACTCCTGGTATGAGGTGGAGTAAGAGCAAGCCCATCACCTCCTTCATTCTAGACACTATACTTTCTTGATGTAGCCTGAGATGCATTAGTTCATTTTTGATCTCCAAGTCTTACCACTGAGTCATATCGTGTGTATATATATATATATATATATGACTAGATCTCCTATGCCTTTTAGAAGGTACTATACATAAGGCATATTATGGACTCTCAGTTGATATGAAATATTGATTATATGTGGCAGTGAGCCTCCAAGTTCAGTGTGCATAGGCTTCATCTAGGAAGCTTGTTAAAAGCACAGATTCTAGGTACCCAGTTGCCAATATTCTAATTTAGTAGATTTGCAGCAGGGCCCAGGAAACTTTGTTTTAGCAAGCATTTTAGGTAATTCTGATGCAAATTGTCCTTGAGTGCATGCATACAGAAATATTGTCCTATCTCATGGGGAGAACTGCATTCTACCCATCTTTGCCCATGGCAGTGACTTCACCTCCAGCTACATGCTGCCCTGCTTCATAGCAGAATGCAGCCATGAGGTGGCTGTAGGATATCACCAGCCCCATCTCATTTCCTGATATCCAACACCTGGATTTAATGGAAAAGGTAAGACTTTTCTTCTGCTTGCTTTTACATTTTTCTCAAGTTTCTTAGATACTCTGTAACTGTTCTACCTATACATAGAAGGGCAGTTCACTGGGATCCACAGTGACAGTGTCAAAAATTGAGAGTCATTGATGGATGACTGGTGGCTTATTCCCTCCCAAAAAGATTTGATACACTATCCACCAAACTAAATTTCAGATGCATTTAAGGGAGTTTTCTTGCAGATACTGAAGAGTTAAAAGACAGAAGAAAGGATAAGTGAGTACATCATTTCTATTTTGGATAGGCTGAAGTACTATGCCCTAAGGCATTTTATTTTATTTATTTGCATACATAAAAACCTATATAAATTGAGAAATATGAACAAAATTAAATACAAATGATATCTTGGAAAACTGTGTAATACTATAACCAATACAGTGGATCTTCATTTGTGGATTTACTGTTTGTGAATTTGCTTATTCATGAAACTTTGTTTAGTAACCCAAGGTTAATACTTGCCATGTTGAATATATCAATCTATCTATCTATCGATCGACAGATAGATAGATAGATAGATAAGGAAAGCCCAGCAGAATCTCAATTAAAACATAGGCAAAGGAAACATATGAGGGGGTCTTCAAAAATTTTGTGGGAAATACATATTAAGTGTGAATCTTAAATCTATTACACCAAAATAAAATTATCTTTTAACTCATTTTTCCATGAATGTTTTGAAGTATCCTTGTATATGATAAAATCAAATTATGTTAAATTATGTTAAAATTAAATACAAAAGAATAAATCAACATTGGCCGGTGTCGCGTCTCACTTGGCTAATCCTCCACCTGCAGTGCTCGCACCCCGGGGTTCTAGTCCCGATTGGGGTGCCA